AATATTTCTTTAGGTGTTGGAAAATACTGTAATATTATGCTAAATTGCTTGTATAAAAATAAACTAAAATATAATTGTGTGTGAACCAGAGAAACTGCAAATAAAAATCAATCGGACGAGTATCCTTATCTTTATTGTTGTCATCAAATACTCTCGCGTCCAGAATAGACGGTTCTACCCAATTATTTAAATTTTGATTTTTTTTTCAAACCTATCAAATATTATTTTAAACGTCTTGTTTATTTTATTTTCCAAACTGTTTGTTTATTCCACCCTCTTCTACTTTCAATGTTGTTCTAAAAACAAATAAACTTTGAATTGAGTTTTCCTACATACCGTTTCATTCCGGATATAAGAGCATGTTGATAGAAAAAATACCTATAAAGCGTTAATAGCATTTCACATTCCAGTATGAAATACATTGAATACTAGTAAAATCCACAATGCATTCCAGTTATGAATATAAATTGGAAGAAATAAAAAGATTTTCCGGTTAATTCTAGCCAGGTGCATAGGTGGATTTCATTTCCACGTTTCCTTTTTAAGAAGGTAAAACGCTGGGCGTTAAACTACCATTAAAATATTCAACAAGTAGTATTAATAATAATAATAATAATAATAATAATAATAATGATAATAATAATAAGACACTTAAAGAAATGGCGGACAAAATGTTTTTATTTAATTTCTTTATTCATGCAAAAACCGGATGGAAATTCTTTTATTTTTTATATATTTTTTTTCCAAACTCAAATTATAAATAACATAAAAGGCGAATTCTGACATTAACACCTGAAAAACTTCAGCCGGGTGCACACCAAATGCATAATAATAATATTAATAAAATAATACATGTCAAATATCCAATCAAAAACTAGCGAACACATACACACACGTACTACTTGTATACATAAGCGTATATATTTATATTGGGAACTCCCTCACTTACGTCCCATAAAATCTAGTGAATAACCATTCACATACATATATGCATGTGTTTCCGGTTTGTGTACACACACACACACACACACACACACACACACACACACACACACACACACACACACACACACAAACACACACACACACACACACACGTGTGTGTGTATATATATATATATATATATATATATATATATATAGATAGATAGATAGATAGATAGATATATATATATATATATGCATATGAGACACACACATACATATATATCCGGTTCTTTTATAAATGGTATAGAATGGACACATGCGTGTAATGGGCGTTTCTTCGTTGAAGAGTAAACTTTCAAAGTTCGCGTGTTTCTTGTAATATTCTGCTTTTTATATAAAATAGTGAATATCAGAAATAATAACCAGCGATTAAAAATTGTCCATCTTTTCATGACACTATATACAAGTGTCGGCCTGGATGTAGAAAGTTACATAAGTTTTAGTTATATTGCCAAAAAAAAAAAAAAAAAAAAAATTAAATTAAAAAATAAAGCTACTAAATATTTCATATTCATTATAAACGATTTATTTGCCTTTCAGGCTCAAGTATTGTGAATCTAGAAAAAAAAGAAGTGATTTTTGTTCTCTTCTGACGCAAGGAAGAATATTTATGATATTAAAAACGACCATCTAGCACAATGAGAATAGACTCAGCCAGTGTGCTGATGACATGGAGAGAAGACTTCCTCGACTGAAGTCAACGGTGGAAGGTTCCTCCGGTGGAATCAATGGCCATGTGTCTGTGACAAATAGAGGAATTCATGTTGGAGGACATCGGCTGTGGGTTTACCGGAGAGAGATGGGTTCCGCCAGGTTTAGGCATAAATGAATACCTCTCTGGCTTTGAAACCCAGATATGTGGAGGGAAGTGGTCAAGTGCTAAACTGAACAGTGACTCTACGACCACATATGATCAGGAAACTGATGATGATGATGATGGGGATGATGATTATTAAAAATGCCTAATCTGTTATAATATAACATTACGGACTAACTGAGTGTCCGTTTTGAGGTTTAATTCGTTCACCGCCGTGTATTTAACCCAATGAAAATGTTCACAAAATTATGTCTATTAACCCCTTCCGTGCCAATTATTTTGGGAAAACGTTTCATTTCCAGACGAATTCTTTTTGTTTGCTTGGGAAGACTAAGAAACTGAGTCATCTTGGAATACTCGAGCAGTGGATAACACCTCTACCAAATGCATGAGTTGATAATTGGACTCGTTTCAAGCTCAGAAGGGCATAAAAAGAATCAAGATCGACGTATAAACACGTCTGTAGCTTGTTTTTGAACCTTATGTTTTGGACGTGTTTGTTTGTCCCTCTCTGGAAAAGACACTTTCGGTAAAAACGTATATACACATCTACGCCGGTGAAGGGGCTAAGCCGCTAGGAAGTGGCAGTGATCATAATTTTTAAATATTCTTCTGTCAAATATTTACAAACCTCTTGGTTACTTATATCTTGTTTTTATGTGTATTACTGCCGACATTTAAATATTTCCAAATTTTTATTAGCGTATGAATATAGAAATCAATCAATGAAGTTATTAATTGAGGCGTGACACTGACACTCACCATGCAGTATTGATTCGTATGTGCACATTGTCTATATTTATAAACGCTCTATCTCCGATATTGAGCACTGTTTCTCTATAAATATAGCAAAGAGTGAACAATATACTTGACGGAAGTTGAATGAAAATCCGACTGAATAGTAAATGCGTAAGATAATCTATATATAAAATTCTGTGATTTCTGTTCGACCGTCCGTCAAACCCTCTAAAGTAGCCGTACAATGACCGATCAAAACCAAATTTTGGGGAGAAGTGCAAGTAGATAAGGTGGGGTACGAAGTACAGTTGGTTTTACTCGAATGTGTAAGAGCTGCGAAGTAGGGTTTTGGCAAAGTATTTTTCTAAACAAATCAGCTTATTCAAGTTTCATCGATTGGTTTTGAATGAAACGTAGAGTTTGTAAATCTCGATAAAAATGTTAGCGATAACTTTAAATAAATACTTTCAAATAATAATTTTGCATGTTGCAAAAAATTCTAGTTTGGAAAACTTCAATTTTGACATGTTTCGCCGATGGATCGACATCATCAGAAAAAGAATTCTATTTCGCAAAATCTTGTTTTTGTAATTTAATTTAAAACTAGTTGAAAAGTATCAGAATGAGAACAGCATACGGCTCCTTAAATTAAGTAAAGGGTTTCGTGGAATATTACCTGAAAATGGTCGAATGTGATAAATACAAGTGGAAGGTCGAAGCATAAATTAACCGAAATGTTGTGTCAAGAAAACAACAAAGATGAAAAAAACTGATACAAGTTAATGTTTTTTCTTTATCTAAAACAATTTGTTATATAATTAAATTTGCAATCCACACTTAAATAACAATACGTTCTAGAAAAAATGACCTCTAAAGCCTGATTTAGTTTCTTTTATTTGCACATCGACTGCTATAAATGGATCATTTCATTCAATAAAGTTATATATTTCTTCATCGTGAAATATATTCTATCTGTTATTCCTAGATATGAACAAATGTAGGCATCGTTATATTATTGAAGATTTATTGTTAAGACAGCTTTATGCAGTTACAGTGTGAATTTAAAGTTTTGAAAAGAAATATTCTAGCGTTTCTATTAAGTGTCAATTCGCACCGGGGGTGTTTGAACATCCCACAGTGTTTTCATGATTAGTGAATTAGCTTTCTGGATACGTCTGTCAACTAACTCAGAGTTTCTGGTTTTAATCGTAATATTAGTGTGACTTACAAGCAGTTTTATTTGTTAACTTGTTTTTGCATGCTTGAATTTTTGAAAATTATAATTTATTTTTTAATATGGCTCTTTCTTCATTTTCATTTATCCTATAAAAAACATAATGAACACCCAAGACAATATATAACAAGAAAATTAAGAATAGAATAATATTGTTTTAATCATTTCTCCTCTCTCCCAAAAAACAAGGTAATAAATCCAATAAGACGTAGGGAGTTACTGAGTGTGAGAGAATATGAGAAACAATAAAACATTAGTAAGTCGAGAGAACAGGAATTAAGAAGATATATATCGATAATGTTTTAAACGAAGTGATTTATCTAACCCCACGGTACTAATGTTGTGTAGTAACGGAAACTTAAGGAATAAATATGTGTAAAGACTAAACCAGGATAACAAGAAAATGCATGAATGCATGGTTGTGAGCAAAAGGGACAGCCTAACATGCAAATTACAAATTGGAGATACCAAAATAAAACCAGTACAAAAATTTAAATTACTGGGAAATGTTCTAACAGAGGACAGGAAATATGACACCGAAATCCGAAGGCGCATTGCGATAGTCAAAAATGCCTTCCAAAATCTAAGCAAAGTATTAAGAAACAGAAAAAAAATACTAGTTAGAAACAAAGAAAAAAAAATGTACTAAACTGTTACGTAAATATCTATTCTCTTATATGGCAGAGAATGCTGGACAATCTCCTCACAGACGAAAAAGAGAATTGAAGAAACAGAAATGTGGCTCTACAGAAGAATGCTGAGAATACCATCGATTGAACAACGACGAAGTTAAAAAAATGGAAAAAAAAAGGATACATATACTTAACATAATGAAGAGTCAGTTGAAATTTCTAGGGCACATAATGAGGAAAGAGGGCTTGGAAAATTTGATACTCACAGGACAGATTGAAGACAAGAGGAACAAAAGAAAACAACACACAACCTATCTAGCGAGCTGGAGTAAATGGATGGCGGAACAAGGCTTAGGAGAGATAACAAAAAAGCCCAAATTTATTAGAAAAGACAGGAGATTGTGGAGAGCCATGATCACCAAAAGACACAACACATAGAAGAAGATACTTTATTAATGTTGTAAGCATTACATGCTTATTTTTAAAATACGCTCTGCCGACATGAGCATTGGTTTAGAATGACAGTAAAAGCTTTTATTGTCTCTCATGCTGACTATGAAGAGTTGTGTATAAAATGGTTTTGTTTACTTACCTTTACAGGTTTCAATTGCCAAAAGTTCTTTCATGGAATCCAGAGCAGAGTAATTGTCAACAGTAAAGGCGTAATTCCTGTTGCCGGCAATTCCTCGGAGTTCTCTCTTGTTGACACCATCTCCGATGCCAATTGCAAAGAGATTGATATGAGCAATACGCCGAGCCCGGTTCGCTTCATAGAGTGTCCGTAAAATGCTCGTCGATTTGCCGTCTGTCATTACAATACCTACCCGGACTACATCATCTCGGGCGCCTTGTTCGGGCGTAAACATTTGGTAACGCATGTACTCGATTCCAAGTGCTGTGTTGGTCGCATAGCCTGGCATATGTACAATATTTCGGATGGCACTTACGAGCGAGTCTTTGTTTTTGAATTTACCTAAAGGGAATTCTAGGGCAACATCTGATGAGTATGTAGCGATGCCGACCTGTGTCATTTGGGGACTGATCTGAAACATGGATATGACATCTTCCACAAATTTGGTTTGTTTTCTGAAGTCCGGTCCCCAGATACTGGCTGAAGCATCGAGTATAAACACAATGTCGGCAGGTTTGCCACCACAATAATATTCTGAATAAAAATAATGAAATTGTATAGAAAACGTGGACTTTTAAAATTTCAAAATTAAAAAAATAAAATAATAATAAACACTATGTATATAATAGTTATGCACAAAATTTATACATAACAAATAATAATAATAATAATAATAATAAGAGGACTTTTCCATATATACATACATAGATACAAGTTACATCCAAATCTAGTTATGTATTGTCAACTTTTTAATAGTCATCTTTTATATATATATATATATATATATATAATTGATAGTATGTAATAATATATATAATATACGTATAATTGATAATATATATATATAATAAATAACTGGCTTGCTATACATATATATAGAGAGATATAGGTAATTGATAATATGTAATAATGTATACAATGCATAGTATATATATAATATATATGTAATAAATAATTTGATAACTATATATATATAGTTAATAGATAATATATATGTAATACACATATAATAGATAATATATGTTATATAATATATATAATAAATAACTGGATTG